CTCTCCCCTGCACTTCAAAAAGTCCTACGGAGAGAGCGACACACAATCCCGAGAGACGGCCCAGGATAGTTGTGGTCGCCCTCCCACCAAACAAAGCCATTAGCCACGTAGAAGTTCGGCAGCCGTCTGGAATGTCTAAGCAGCTCTATTTAAGGACAGCACTGCCTAGCACCTCGCGGGGAAGAGGCTGGAAAGGTCGCCACAAGCAAGTGTTGGGAAATAACTCCATCTGTTAGTATACCATGGCTCGTAGATGCAAAACATTCGGTCGAAAAACTACAATGAACAACAACCACCCGCACCCCCCTCAACTCCGCTCCATCCCACAGGCTGCTAGGGTGAGTCGGCTCACTCTAGCAGTCTGGACTACTCGTTCCCTTTTAAACAATCTGAGGAGAAATCGATCGGAACGAAGGACGTTGCTATTCGCTCAATTATTGACATGCTACAAGGTGGACATTGCTGTTCCCAGCGAGACCCATTTCCCCGAACAAGGCCAACCGAGGGATGTAGGTGTAGACTACACCCTCTTCTGGAGCTGTCGCCTAAAGGCAGAGTGACGTGATGCAGGCGCCGCCTTTTCCATCCATAGCGACATCGTGGGACGATCATGTCTCCTTCTTCACGAACGACTGCTCTGTCTGTCGCGATGCGTCATGGTCCTCCTCATGAGCTTACGCCTGCCTCTTCGGGGAACCAAATTTGCCATCATAGTGAGTGTCTACGCGTCCCCAATGACTAGCTCCGATGAGGGAGAAGACCAGGTTCTACGAAGACCTGCACGCCCTCCTGGTGTCTGCGCTGAAGACGGGCAAGCTGGTTGTCCCTGGTGACTTAAATGCCCTCATTGGGACAGACTATGTTACCTGGGGGGTGTGCTGGGTCCCCACGGAATCGGGGGCTTCAACGACAACGGCCTCCTCCCCCTCCCGTGAACTTGCGCAGAACACCACCTCTTCCTGACCAACATCATCCACCTTCTAATGCCCAAGAAGACGATATGATACGTCTCCGATCACGGCGCTGGCAGTTGCTGGACTACGTCCTCATCTGGAGGCGAGATCGACAGGACGTGCTGGTGACCAAGGCGATCTGCGACTTTGACAGCTGAGCGGATAGCTGCCTCGTCCTTTCCAAGATGAAGCTCCGAAAGCAACTTTGCAGGAGGCCGCAAGAAAAGTGACCACCAGGCAAGTTAAATACTGCTTTAGTGAATTTTCATGGACAGTGTAGACAGCGATGGTGGATGTGGTGAGTGTTTGCGGGGACTCTTGACACTGGTACACCGGTTGCAGTGCGATGGACTCGCAAGTAACTGATCGGACCGATGAGTAAGGTGAGTGTGCGATCTCAGTGAGGACAGACTGAGACTGAGTCCCGATCGCTGGAGGTAGGGGTGGTAATGGCGAGGGTAATGGTTGACGCGCCGTCAAGAGCGTCTTGATCGTTGGCGAGAATAGTAGTTTTGATGGTCACCGTCGCCGCGGAGGCTGCAGCAAGTACTATGGAGATGGCAGTGATCGACGGCAAGGGGACACAATTATGTGGGACATCCATGGTGAGGGTGGTCGTCGTAGTCGACGCCATGGGTATTGCGACAGGAGCGGTCGGGGAGGCAGCAGTTGTGGTTGTCAGGCAGTTGATGCACTGAGTGCGGAGATGGCCGGCGATGCCGATTAGCGCGCTGAAGGTTTGCTGACAGGGCAGGTATGTTGAGAGGGGTTGGAAGTTGGCGTTGCGGATCAGGGACGTCTCAGACTTTCGAGCTTTTCCTTCCAGCGACAATCCAGCTGGCTTCGCAGATGGCTGCTCCAATCTTCACCGCTCTTCTCCTGGCCGGTCGGTATAATGTGACGTCTTTTCAGGCCTTCGCGTCCATTTGTAGTCGCTCCAAGTAATTCTTTAAGGTGTCTTTGTAGCGACGGGTCTGACCTCCTTTTCAACGTACACCTGTGGCAACATCTTCGTGGAAGATTTGTTTCGGTGGTTGCTCGTCGTCCATCCTTACAAGGTGGCCGCTCCATCGCAGTTGCAGTTGCTACAGTATGACATGGATGCCGAGAATCTCAGTCTGTCCCAAAATTTCTGTGTCCGGAATCAGCTTTAATATCCGTCGGAGACAACTGAGGTTGAAGTGATTAAGTTTCTGCCCCTGTTTCTTGTATGCTGCCTAGGTTCCCGCACCATCCAGCAGCGCCTTGTACATCTTCAGTCTGATGTTGAGACGGAGACCGTGACGATCCCATACGGAGTTCTGTTGCCGGCTGGATGCTTGGCTAACTTTGGGGATCCGGCGGACCACTTTGTCGTGCGGCCTAAGTAGGCGAAGCTATCCACGGTTTTCTGTTGGTTGCCATTGATGTGGATGCAATGTTGGAAAGGGGAATGTCTAGGCGATTGTCACAGAGATGATGATAAACCTTACATTTGTACCTCTATATGATGTTTGCGACCTCGAAGTTCAGAGGTACTTGTTCTTGTCAGCAAATTTCCTGTGACGACGATTTAAGTCTGTCCCTGAGCCGAGGGCCGCCATACTTGCAGATGCCAAATTGGACTGAGTCATTCTGTCAGCCTATGATATGGGGCGGAGGAGCTGGTTGTTGTTGTATTGTTTCGACCGCGAGTTTTATATCTGCGAGTCACGGCCAGCTTACAGGTGACGTGCTTTCCCAGCATTTATTTATGGCGCCTTTTCTAGCCCATTACCACGCAAGGGGGCAAGCAGTTCCTTAATGAGACATCCCAGACGGTTGTCGAACTTCACTATGGGAAAGCGATCCGAGTTAACGTGGGCCGCCTTTCGGTATTGCATGTCGCCTTCACTTTAGGACTTTCTGAAAACGGGGAGAGCGATGAGGAATGGTAATTGGAACATAACTGCCGGGCTTGTGGCCCACATAACGTCTGATACGCCCATCTGGTTTGGTCCACCGGTTGAGGCGGTTACCGGGGTGTAACCGCCAAACAAGGTCAATCTTTTGGGGGCCACAGACGAGAGTTGGCGACAGTTAAGGGCCGAGCGGAGCAACCACCACCTGTCGGATGCACATGGAGCGATTTATCTTCCCTTACACAGTGTACCCCCTAACTGGACACAGCACATTAACACACACGCCCCAACAGGTGCGTTGAACCAAACGGGTTCACAGTGGCGCAAGTTTTTTTGGTTTCCGCCGGGCCGCACACGCACGCCTAACCATCGTCATGCATGCATGTGGCATTCCTTAGACGGCGGACCCCATGCCGCACCCAGTCCCGTGACTGCTTTGTTGATAGGCTCGGGTAGACGTCTGGCACGCGGGAGAGGGAAGAGGGGGTGAGGGTGATACTGTAGAATTCCCCCCAACGGCAAAGCAGCGATCTTCTGGACTCGGTCTTGTAAGTGTAACGAGATGGGCGATTGGGGATAGGGTGAGGCATAGTACTGAAAGCCTGTTTCATTCTGGACAAATTCACATGCAAGCCAGGGCTTCTGGGCCCACCCCATGGTGTAAGGGTGAATATTGCTGGGCAAGGATCGGGTGAAGGACCCCAAACATCTGTGGCATATAAGGAATACCTATTATACTTATTTAAGTGGGTTTTAATCCGACACGATTATTTCGGTTCAATGTTTCATCGTACAAGGTTGGGTCGTCTGCTGTAGACTGTCTGCTGCATTATCTACAATGATCTCAGTTCAGAGAGTTGAGAAACGATCGTTTTAGACATTTAAGGTCCATTTTTTAATTGTCCTGCATAACTTCGGCTGCAATATGACAATGCATTAAGACATTTCCTCCCGAAAAACCAATTCACCAATTATCTATACTTATTTTGCCATTCCTCTATGTATACATAGGCCCCGTTTGTAAAATCCCTATTACAACCTTTCCCGTAAGACAGGCAATTTTGGCTGGGCGTGTATGTTTGGGGTCCTCCACCCTTTGTTGTTTGCGACAGTCTGACTATCGTCAGTAGCTAGCAGGATCGCTTGTCCACTTCCGCGGTAATAGGACCAACATAGGTATGCGGTAGCATGACTACTGCATCCTATAAATACCGCAGCCCCTTGTGCAACAACCACCCGTTTCTGCTTTTTTTGTCTCTGATGATGGATTCGAGTAGGAATCCGAAACGTCAGGCTAACAAAGCTCTTGTCCGGCGATCGTGTCTCCTTCTTCAAGACTACTTCCTGGGACTCGTCTCTTCGTTTCTATTGGCAAGGACCAACAATGTTTCCTCCATTAGAGCCGCCACAAGGGTCACTCACGGCATTGTGTGTCTGACCATCAGACTTATTAATGGACTCTTTTGGGTCACGTTAGTTCATAACTTTTTAATACATTAAAAAACCACTTTCTTTATCGAAGCATCCAATCCGCTTTCCGCATATAATCTGCCGCTACCATTCGCACAGGTAGAATAAGGACGGAGAACGACCAAAGAGTATGCCGAGGCTGCCCTTTCCAGAATTTGGCGTCACGAACTATTTACCGGAAATATTTATCAACCTTTGCATGATGTCGCACAAGGAATTGTCCTCGGAACAAAGTACCCTCCTAAGTTAGTGAAGTGTCAGTGAAATTCCAGAAACGGTAGTGGCACTATCAAGGTAAGAAGAACCAACGGCAACATTTAACAGAAAAATGTTTCGGTCGTTGAACACCATGCCTTGGCTCAAGAACTACGCCACTATCTCACAAGCCAGCAAGAACATAGCAAGTATGATGACAATAAGGGTTTACAGATAGTGGCATTATCACTGGATTGCTTGTCCGCATAAACACTTAACCAAAACTCTGGGTATCGGTATTGTTCTTCCATATGCGGGAACTGCCGTCAGTCATCGTCCGTTCCTCATGTCCCCAGGGACTCGGCAGAATGAGGAACCGATCAGAGTTATGATGGATTAAACCGAAATCCCCGTGGCTGGTCTCTACAACAGGAGGAGTGCGTTCAAACGAACGTCAGACGTCATAACTATGCGCGAGACGTTTGCAGACCGCATTGCGCGGGAAAAACGCGTTGCCGCTGGGACATCGTCCAACGATGGCACATCCATGAGCTCCACATATAAAGAGGCGGAACTGAAGGGGCGCGATCATCTTGACTCCACTGGAAGACTACCCGCGTAACTCGGAGCCACAGAAAGACAAGACTATACGACCATCGAATATAGACTGAAGCTGCCCATGATAAAAGGCTAAAAAACGTAAAAAAGGGGCATACTCGGCATCATGGCAGCTACCAAACATCATTTGTCGGTTGAATGCTTGCGCCGCGTGTGACTCATGCCTCCAACTGGACGACATCGTAGTCTGATCGTTATTTTACTCCCTACTGATTGACCACAGCTGAACAGTTGGACAGCAATAACAACAACGGCTTATCCATGACGTAGCAAATAAGACCAGCTGCTGCCGAACTCTCAGCTGCTCATATGCCGCATGTAAATTATGGATCAATAATATCAAAAATTATTAGGGAAAAGACTGTAGTGACATTTAAGTCCGTTTTGTTTTAATCAGTTACAATACGCTTTTTAAAGAACTTGACACAACTTTTAGTGAGACATAGCACAAGCACGGGCATTTTTCCTTGCAAAAAAGAAAAACAGCCCTATGACGGCCCATTTCGAGTACTATCTCGCACGGACAAGCATTTTACAATTGACCGTGGAGGCCGCACCGACGTGGTCTCAGTCGATCACTTGAAGGCGGCTTATACCGAGCCTCTTTCAACTTCCCCAACCGAACAACCTCCACTCGGCGCATTGCCACTTGCTATTTCCCAGACTCCACTTACGCCCAATAACCCTGTGTCTTCCCTTATCCCACAGACTCCTCCCTTACGCGCAGCGGTCGCCATGTCCGTTTTCCCGACCGTTACCAACTTGTACAATATGCATAACACTCCCACCTTTGTCTTCTATTTACAATAATTTTTTTGAACTCCGTTCTCCTAGGAGGGGGAGTATTGCAGTGACATTTAAGTCCGTTTTGTTTTAATCAGTTACAATAAGCTTTTTAAAGAACTTGACACAACTTTGAATGAGACATGGAACAAGCACGTGCATTTCCCCTGTTGACGACTTTGTTCTAATTTACTAGTTTGTAACTGTTGGGATACTGCTAGCTTCGTTTCCTGAATAGCCAACTCACTGTGCCCAACTAATGGGTTTATCACTTACAAGACTTTGAGTTCAGTGTTCGGACGGGAATTTCTCAGAGCCTATTCCGAAATTTTTATGAACGTCCGAGTTGACGGCAAGCAACTTCTGGGTAACAACCGTGTTGATACCTATTCTACAGACAAATAATAGTACTGCTGATGCTGATATGGCAGTAATGTCGAAGGGCGATAGTCAAAAAGGGAAGGTTTCGCAAAGCAAGTCATGGTGACAACACCTGATAGAGCAATCATTTTCTCGGACTGGGATGCATAAACGCCTAAGACGTCGCAGCCAGCCGTTGTTGTTATTGCTGTTGTGCCAGCGCAAAATGTGAGCATGTGAATGAGCCATCTTCAGCTACATTCAATTAGTGGAGAGCAGAGCAGAACGATCGGCGCTGCGATGTCGCGAAACGGAGGAGCGAGTCACACATAGCGCAAGTATTCAAATGGCCAGGAGGCGTTCCGTCGCTGACGCCACACTGAGTAGACTGCCACAGCGACTCCACCATACTTCCAAATTACGTACTAGCTAGTAGTCTTATAATTTACAAAAGTAGTAATGTACTATGAAGACGGTAACAAGCGAATGGTTCCGTAAGAAGTCTCACTTAAGGTCGAGGCAGACTAGTGTGATCTGCCGGGTTTACATGCAAGCGAAGGTAATGGAGACTTCGTAACTTCTGGAGCACCAAATTGGCAAATCATTGACTTAAACAATGCTCATTCTAAGCGTGAATGGTAAATCTGCTGACGTGGGATTGACAGTTGGCGGTGAGTGTGAGGAGGATGGACCACACGAATCCCCAGTTTACCTTAAGAACGACAGGAGTACCATCGGGGGGG